CTGACATTTGTTTGTCTGACATTGTAGTTACTTTCAGACATAGTGATAATTTGCTTCATGTTTTTTTCTTTTTGGGGGGGGATGGACTATTTAACTTTTGCCAGATCAAGTAAACCCTCATAGCTACATTGTAGAGAGGCTGGCAATTTAAAAGATGAAGCATGCAGAAACTAATGACAACACTGGTTTGTGTGTTGAAACAAATTTCTGATCATTAGAAAATATGCTTAAAGAGAAGGAAATCTATATAAATTAGCCAAAATGTCGGGAAGGCTTCAAGTAAAAAAGACACATAAATATTTTGTTGAGTGTTGTTTGTAGCTTTTAATGTGTAATTGTCCTAATATCGTTTAAGAATCAATGTCATATATTACAAATATTTTAAACTGTGAAATTTTATTAGATTGGGGTTTTAATAGGGCTTTTTTTTTTTTTACAAATATTGTTAATAAAAGTTAAATAAAATTTTACAATCGCCATGCAAATTCATAATGACTAAGGTTATCTAACTACGTAATTTAAGTATTTATAAGTAACTTCTTATGCTTAAAAATTATCTCTGCATAAAGCGAGTTATTGCCTTTCATTAATCCTTACCATGATCACAAGATAAAACACAAAAATGTAAAAATTCAAGTAAAATTTATTCTTTGCATCTAGTGAGACTTAAAATAATACAAAACAACTTATCACATCTGGTTCTTTAATGGCTTATTGGAACCTTAAAGCAGGGGCTGTTCGCACATTTTTTTATACGATTTTGGTAAGCGGTAATAAAAATTGTTTGCTGCAAAAGAAGTAATTGCAATTGTACTATGTTTTTAAAAGTCAAAATTATCGTCTGTGGCTTGAAAGTTTTATTTTTATTCTAAATGGCAAATTTAACAAAGCAGTGTTTCGAAGGCTACATTTACACTCTTTCTGAAGAGAAATATGCATACTACGTTATCCAAAAACGATGTGAGAGTCATGGTTTTGTGATATCTAAAGCGTCGAGAGGTAATATCATCAACAGGAAAGGAAAAAAACGTCAAATTGGGGCTTCAAGTGGGACAAAAATTCCAAATAAGTATCCAAAGAAAAGATAGACATCTTCAACTATTGCAAAGGTACATTATTAAATGTTAAAAGAAAATCCCCTAGTCAAAGGACAGTTTGAAAATTATTAAAATACTCGGTGTCCACTTTAAACAAAATGATAAACGTTGATTTAAATCTTAAGAAAGCGAAAAAACGCAATGTGCATTGTCTTCTTCCAAAGCATATTGCTCAACGCTGGACACGCTGCAGAATTCTATAAGAAAAACACTTATCCAAAGAAAAATGGAAAATAGTTGTCGCAATAGATGAAGCATGGGTTATTTAAATGATTGTAGCAAAAAAAGAGTCATTTATAATCATAAAAGGAGAGAAAAAAATTTAAGTACATGGTTCAAAGAATCGAAAAAAAAAAAAAGTTTTTCTAAGGGATTCATGATTGTTGCTGGTTTTTCTTATAATGGCAAGATTTTTGTGCTTTCGGACTTTAAAAAACTGCATTATCCAAACGTTGTCCCCAATCCCTAACCCTTTGGGAGGAATGGGATAGAATACCTCTTCTGCCACTTCAAAAGGCATTATTATCCTGGAAATTGCAGTGTCGAAAGATAGTTCAGAATAAGGGATGTCAAATAGAACATTTAAAACACAAGAATTTTATGTAATTTAGTTTTGTGAATACAATATACATCGTCTAAAAAATGTGTGAACAGCCTCTGAAGTATATTACTGGGTTACAACCCCTGGAACTCTACACGAAGCTACGACACTAACTGCATCGAACAGAGCCTGACTAACTTTCAGCACTTGCATCTTTTGTTATCAATCATGCTGATTATGATCTTACAGCTCATTTTAACCTATGCCGTTTGACATAAAATCTACATGCTATTTACTAAACCTCTAGACTGACCAAGTATGTGACAAAATGAAACTAAAAAAAAAAAAAAAAAGCTAGCTATTAGTAAAACGAAATGTCACTTATCTTCTTTCAAATATGTCCAACTATTATAAGTATAAAATATGTAGTGCTACTTGATAAATTGCATAAAATTTATTTTATTCTCAAACTTAATTAATTCATGTTTAACAATAATGCATACTACTTAGGGATCTATTTTATTTTTAGGATGGTATTACAATAGTGAAATCAGGCATAGATAATATTTTTAATTGAATTTATTCAGTTCCCATTTGCTCATAGGTCCTTAATTTTTTTCATTAATGGTCCTTAGAAGTACTTAATCAGTCTCTTGTGAAATATCATCAATTCTTCAATGTACTGTATTATTCACACGTGGATCATTTTCAGTTTTCCTTTCTACATCTTCCAATAAGTTCACATGTGGGCATTATCAAATTCTCTCTAGCAGTGTGAATATTTTGTGCAATAAGCTGTGCTGAGAAATAACTTGCTTCCTGAACCTTATCACTAAATGTGAATATGTTTACAAAAGTTGTACTTTGTTTCTTTCAACAAAGTTTTAAAATTTGCAACAATTTTGTGTTTTCATATTAGTATGATTTGTTGTGAAGTGTCTGTTCAATTTTATTGGAGCTATTGTTGTATTTGAAAGTTTTATACCACAAAAGAAACTCAGTGGAAAAGAAAATTAGCGATTGCCAGTCCATGTAAAGCCCATAACTTTTATTGCAATGATGAACCTTTTTTGTACATCTTTCTTTCTCAGTCTTTTGAAATTTTGTGTGATACTCTAAATTTTATCGCTAGTCGCAAAATTACCTGCTCTGTTTCACCATATTTTAGCTGCTAAAATATATAGAAGAATAAAAAAATGAGGGAAAAATAAATGAAATAGTATTAAAATAGTATTAAAAATTTTATAGTAAAATAAAATAAATAATAGTAAAATGAAAAATACACTTTAGCAATCTGTTTAACCAACCACATGATCCTACACTTCTTGCATCACTAATGCATACACAGTCACAGTCGATTCTAGTTCATGACCTGCCTTTGGCTGTTCGGCTATGCCTATTTAGACTCATGTTACATGCATAGCTTTACACAGCTAATTTACAGTTTAAGTAATATTTCTAAAGAATAAATTGTTTCAAAAGAATAAATTAAATAAATACAAATTTAATTAATTCTTTGTGCCATTGCTGCAAGGAATGAAATTTAAATTTGTTATAAAGAATAAGTTTAAATTGATTGGTAAATAACAAAAAATCCATACAGCTGTTGATGACATCTGTTGAGTCTAACCTAGCATAGCTGAACAGGCAAAGGCAGTTTTTCAATTATCATTGGCTAGACACTTCTCACAGTCACACTCCTTTCCCCAACCAAAGTTTTTTGAGTACAATACTAAATCGGGGGGGGGGGGAATGTTTTCTCTTTCATGACATACATGTTGACTAGACCGTCAATCCCAGAATGGCTGCTTTTGTTAGCTGGGCGAGTTCACTTTATGCAGGTAAGAGGAAAAAAAAGGAAAGGTTCCAGAGTGGCTTGCAATGGAAAGCATGTAGATCGTGGAATGGCTTTTAGTGGGCACTAGAGATATGCTCACAGACTTATTCCTAAACCGTGGAAGGAGTTTCACTGCATATTTTTATACTTTGTGTTTTATTGAACATTTTGTTTAAGGACGGATTAATTTTTATCAATTCATGAAACAAAAATAATATTTCGAAGAGAAATACCTTTTTGAAAAAAAAAATTGTACACATTGTATGCTAATTTAAAATTTTCTTAAAGCATAACGTTTTGGCAAAATTACATAATCTTGTTTATTCCAATGAAATCTAATATTTATTTGAACTCTTATTTTGGTAAAGTAACTGACCATTACATGAAGTTACAATAAGTAACTGTAAGTTTTTATTCACTTGAGGTATTTTAGAAAATTGTAACTGTAAATTTTTGATATTTATAATGTTGACAGCTAATATCATAACAACAAAACGTAATTATTTAACTTTCTTTTAATCTGCTGCACAAAATAAATAATGTGTTTTAGTATGCTATATTTTGATTGAGCTTTAAAAGGCCTATCTTTATACAAAAAGAGTATTGTATTCCCTTGTGAAAGAACAACTAGTGTTTTGATTCCATTTTGTATAAAGAACAAGTATTATTTCTTTCCAGATCTTATTTAAATTTAATGCAAAATTTTAAAAATCAGGTAACCAAAATTAACGATCAAGAAAAACAAGAATTATAAATATTATATTCGTACTAACGAAACACTAGCTGCACACACAAAGCACAAGCCCAAAATGGACGTAGCATCTTTTCCCCTCTTCCGATCTCATCCCTACTTTCAAGTACCATACATACAAATGTTGGACTCTTCCAATAAACAAAAGCAGCCGTTGCTGGTTTGAGCGCCTTCTTACATGTTGTTTCCCTATTTCTGTTAAAACTCTAGGGTTGCAGAAAACCCTGGTTGGGAGACACTGCTCTATAGCATAAATATAGGTATGACTTGGCTTTGTGGGAGGGCAGCATTACTTTGACTGATAAAAATTACTGACTAATTCAGTATTTAAAAACTATTGTTTTCATGAAAAATTTGTTTATTTTCCCCTTTCCCCTCTTATCGTAAAAATTAGGTGTAAATATCATTTGTTTAAAAGATAGAAAAAGCAAATCCTTTTTAATGCAGTTATTAAAAGCTTTAATTTTAATATTAAATTATTGAATATAATTTCTCTTCTTGAAAAGAAAGAAGTAGAGTTCTTGAAGTGAAAGAAAGTAAAATTTTTTAGCTGTTTTGCTTTATCAATTTTGAAATAAATTTTGGATTATTTGCATTTTAAAATGTGTTTTTTTTTATTATTATTATTTCTAAAACAGCTTATATAAGATATTAAGCATGTGTTTTACATTAATGTCTGCTGCATGTTAATTGTATTATTAGAAATTAATCTTATGATTTTTGTGCTTTAAACATTATGCATATATAATTTTACCATTTGTGATCCATAAACAGGTTCTGGGAATGCTACACAAAGTCCCCAGTATCAGGAATCAGGCTCTGGTGCAAGTATACCTCAACCTGTTTCATCTGGAATTAATCCTCCTTTTTCATCATCAGCTTTCACATCTCCCATTCACAACAATTCTTCTTTAAGTATGCAACAAAATACTGGAATTGCAGCTTATCCAGGCACCTCATATGATACTCATCATGCTAGCAGTTCTCATCATAGGCAAACGCAACAGGTTACTAGTGGTGCTAAAGGTGGTTCTGATGACCATCAAGGTACTACTGACAATACGCATGAAAACTCAGTTATTGCAAAATCTAGATCAACTCCAAGCCCTGGGCCTGTATTCTCATCTGTAGCATCTGTGACACCTCCCTTGGTATCACAGGTAAGAAAACTTTTTCAATGAGAATATTCATTTGATTACCAAATGCATGTAATGTTCATGATTACCTGGTCCACCAGCAGCTGAATGCTAAAGTTGTTGAACACTGATAATTCGGTCTGCAGGTTTGAATCTCAACAAACAAACTGGCTGCATTGGCATTTTCTTGGTTTTCCCTATGTGTATAATGTGTATGAGGCAGTTCCCTTAACTAGTCCTCCACTAAGGCATTCTCCCTCTTAAGCAGGTAACCCTTGAGTGTTTTAGCATAATCAAATAAACCCAACCAATCATATGATCACCTTTGGCAATAAATATATGTTTTAAATGTCTGTAGTGTAATGCAATCAGTATAATTTTTGTAAAAATTAAGAAAATTCTTCGTTGAGATATATGAAAGTCATTATGGTATATGCACTCTATAACATAAAAAATCTGATGTGTACACCATGACTTCCTTGTACGGAATATTAAATCTACTTTCCGACAGCACATAAACCACAATAGAATAAATGCATTCTTTAAAATTCACTCTAGTATTTGTTTACCATAGCGACACTCTGGCGCTAAATTCACTTAACAGTATTATATTTCGTTCATATTATAACTCATAATGCACAAAATTTATATCATTTAAAGAATTATCTAATCGTTGCCACATGTTCTATTCAAATACTATAATAAAGCTAGAACGATGTATAAAAGAAATTAAGCAAACAAAACAAAAAAGAAACAGTTTTTCACAGACGATTGAGTATTTCTCATTCAATTCAGTTCACTTCGCGACAAGGCAAAAAATACATAAAAAACTCAAAATATCTATTAAAAATTACGAGTAAATCTTAAACACTTATTTCCTCGAAAAAATTCCAGAAAGGATTAAGCATGATTTAATTCGCAATAATAAATGAAGGCGTTATCTTTGTTGTTGCGAAGCTAAGTTTCTCTAGATTGGCAACAAATCCACTAGTCTGCTGTTTCAAATGTAAACAATCAATGGCCGCCATTAAAAAAAGGTTAGGCTTAGCACTTAAACAACTTTAAATTGTTGATAATTCTAAAATATTGCATACAGATTTACTAAAGGCATAAAAAACCTTAACCGGAAGATAAAAATCACATAATTCAATCATTTTTAAAGCAAAAAATGTACAATTTACAAACATATAAGAGTAAAGAAACTGAGATCACTGAGCCGGGTAACAGAGTGGATATATATATAAATATATTTATATACGTTTGGTGCGGCCGATTGCAACCAAAATACGAGGTGCACATCTACATGTTATAGCAGTCCTATATACAAAATTTCAACGTTCTGAGGCTACTCGTTTTTGAGTTATGCGAGATACGTACGTACGTTCGTACAGACGCCACGAAAAATTCTCTTCAGAATTCATTTTAAAGCAGTTTTATAATTTTTTTGGAGAAAAAGAGTCTTTTATTCTGTCCTTACGTACAGATATCACGCAAAAACATCATTAAATTGCATTCGATAGCGGTCAAAATGGATATTTTCGTTGAAATATGCAGCCTGAAACTTTTCGCGATTACAATACTTCCTTTTTACTTCGTACAAAGAAGTAAAAATAATATTAAAAAAAAATGAAGAAGCAGAAAAAATAAAACTGTCTGCTATTTAAGGATTGTGAATGTTTTTCTTGCATTAAGTATGATATACTGGATTTTTTATTTAAGAAAAAGGTAGAAATTAAATCATAAAAAAGCTATAGCATTATAATTATTTATTTAAAATGGAAATAATGATTACTACTGTGGCTAATCTTTTAGGTGTTCATGAAATAATAAGCTTGGTAATAGCTCAGAATAACACTTCAACACTGAGCAAAATTACGAAGGCAGAGTTAAATGACATCAATCAATGGGTACACCACAGTGAATTCTTGCATTCGCACTATACATATTTACTATTTTCTATTGAAATTACAAAATCAGTTGTTTTTTATTGTAAACTGATGTTAAATTCTTTATTTTTTATTTACATTTCTAACAATTAAGCTTTGTTTTTATTCAAAACAAGTATAATAAACTGTTTATTTTAAATTGATTTGATAGAATAATAGTCTTACATTTATAAAAACATGGTTGTATTTCAGACAGTTTATATAAGATTTTTTAAGCTTTGGAATTGATACAAGTAAGAACATATACTGCAGTAGAAAATATTCATTATAATATAAAAATATTTAAGAGAAGTTAAGATATGAAAATAAAAACCACAAATTTATAGTAAAGCACAATTTTTCAAGTGGAAAATATAAAATCAAGTGCAATTACAGGGCTCATATGGTTCTTAAATGTTCTTAGATTTTTTGGAATCAATTTTTGGTCCTTAATTTTGGCCAAACTCAGTACAAGTCCTTAATTTTGATCATCTGAAATTTCTGTGTTTTTACGACTACACACATTTTGAGTGTGAATTAGCATTTTGTAGGAATGTTTTTCATGATTCATTGACATATATGCTTATCTTTTGAATGGGTTCATGGGTTATAATTTGTTTTTATTTCTAATATAAATGATGAAATACTCG